TTTGCATCTGCTACACTTCTGCATAGTTTGCAAACTTTTCCTTTGGATTCACAAGGGGAGATTTTTTTTTTTTTTTGCTACAAAATTTTGAAATGAAAATATAGACATTTTTTTCCTAGGAGATTGTATCATTCTTATCAGGCTGTGTGCTTTGGAAGTCGCTAAGGAATCCAGATGAGTAGTCTGTATCGCGAGTGGAGGTCAGATGCAGGTCCTGTACAGCAAGACCGTGAGCTCTGCCTCCAGTCCCAGAGCACCTAAGTGCTGTAGTCTTAGAGACCAGCTCCGCCGGCTGCTTGCTCCCCTGGCGTCCACTCTAGCTCACTAGATGCCTGTGAAGTGTGACCCGAGCCCTGGCCTCATGAAATCCAACCAGCAGGGTCATCGGGGCCACTGAAGCATGAGTTGGCGTTTCCCAAGTCCACGTAACAGAAGCTCCCTTTGCACCACAGGGGGCAGGTCAGGAGGCGCTCTGGTGGCCAAGGGCACAGCTGGGGCTGCAGCATAACAGCACGAGGTGTAACAAAACCCCTGCCTGGGATGGGTAGCCAGCGAGTCATCCCAGTAGTGCATGTCTTATTCATGAACACAGAGAACGCGTTTTCTTTGGCTGCCCCCTTTGCCTTTTCAGGTCATGCCTACGATTTACAGTACCAACCCTTCCCTGTGTGTCACACCAGATGCACCTGCCATGAAGCATCTTGTCACCATATCAAAGTCAGTGCTGGGTTGGGTGGGATGTGTGATTAACAGGGTGACCAGAGCCAGCATGGATATTTGTTGTTTAAAGACAAGGCTTTAAGAAGTTCTTTAAACCCCATTAAGACTGTACGTGCAGGCCGGGGAGATGGCTCAGTGGAATAAGCGCTTCCCTGGCAAGCACAAGGACCTGAGTTCAATCCCCGATTCCGCAAAAAAAAAAAAGACTGTATGTGCTCGGAAATGTGAGACAACTGTGTAACGAGAGGCAGGACCTCACTACGAACCTGTCTTAGGGCTACCTGAGTTTCTTATTTTATTTTGACCTGAAAGGAGATTAAATATGATGGGGTTATTTATTTTATATTTTAAATGCTAAAATTCAATAGAAAACTTTTTTTGTTTTGTTTTGTTTTTTAGCAGAGCCGAGGATTGAACTCAGGCCCTTGCACTTGCCAAGGAAGCGCTTATTCTAATGAGCCATCTCCCTGGCCCAGGAAATACTTAACCATAGCAAATTCATCCGACTGAACTTGCAAGGAAGCCAATCACAATGTGGTTCTCTTTCTCTAACTCACTGGGCAGACAGAAATGCAAAGCACTCATTGGGAATCACCTCTGGAAACAGACTCTAGTTTTGCTCATTAGGCTGCCCTGGGATGTAGCCGATTGCTTGGCATCTGTGTGGCAGGCTTTGATCACAGCACTAAAGATCAAAGCTCTGGGATCCGACTTGGAATTAGGTCCTCACTGGCTACTTAGGCCAAGTCCATCTCTCCTCCTTCTTGGTAAAATGTGAATAATACTAACAATAGTAATTATTGTGATCATGAAATGTGTGTGAGCTGCTATTTGCACTCTTAAATTTAGCAATGAGCCATAGTTTGTTAGGGAGAGGGGGTTATGGGTACTAGGGAAACAAGATTTCATTTTAAATGTAATAAGGGAGAAAAAACTTTTTTTTTTGGTACTGGGCATCAAACTCAGAACCTTATGTTTGCCGGGCAGGCACTTATGCTGCTGAGCTGTCTCCCCCCGCAAAGCACATACTTTATACAATACACATATTGTAATGATCACGTCTCCAGGTCTTGATATTCTCAAAGTATATATACTTGATATTCTCAAAGTATCTCTAGGTAGCCAAAGACCAATTTAAAATTCCTTAAGGTCAAAATTATTTTCATATTAACACTAAGCTGTTGCCTCTTTTCATTCTTATTCTTTAGTAAGTGTACAGAAATTCCCTTTACCACCGCTTGGCTCTCCAAGGTCTCAGTTATCCACAATCAACCACAATCCAAAACTATTTTTATTTAATAATCTGAAAATATCAAATGGAAGTTTCCAGAAATAAATAATTCATTGGAACTAAATCACACTCCATTCTGAACAGTGAGTGAAATCTCAAGCCCTCATGCTCCACCTTTCCTGGAACATGAAGCATCCTTTCGTCTAGTGTACCTGAGCTGTGTACACTGTCTTCCCTGTAATCACTTCATAGACAACTCTGTCATCAGGTTGACTCTCACAGTATCACAATACTTGCATTCACGTCACCTTTATTGTACTCAGTAACTGCTCCAGAGCACAGGAACAGTGATGGTGACAGTTCCGATATGTCAAAGGGAATCTGTAAAGTGCTTCCAACACTGAAGTTACGAAGGTCTTCTACCTGGGAAATCATGGAGAGGAAATCCATGCTAGTTCTGCTGTCGCAACTCAAACTGCTAAAGTTACAGGAATGTGTGACAAACAGTTAAGATAGAAAAGTCCTCGGCTGGTGAGATAGCTCAGTAGATTAAGCGTCTGCTTAGGCAAGTGCAGGGATTGTGGTTTGATCCCTGGCACCACATGCCATGCCAGCCCTGTGCCCAGGTGCACTGAGCTGGCCACCGAGACCAGGCACGGTGGTGCACATCTGTAATCCCAGCGCTGGTGACGCTAAAAACAGGAGGATCACTACGCATCCCAGCTGCGTAGTGAGACCCTGCACCAAATACATAAATTAAAAAAAAAAAAAAGAAACCCCCTTACTGTCCATGGTTTGTCACCACTTGCAGTTTGGGGCATCCACTGGGTGTCCTAGAATGTTTGACCCCATGATAAGGGAGACCTAATGTACAGAAGAATGTTCCAGAACCTACCAGATGTGTAATGACATCATCACTGAACTGTTAATGGAACATGTACATGTACATTCTTTTTTTTTTTTAGTACTTTTTTAAAAAGAGAATAAAAATAGTGAAAAAAATATTAGAAATCATACTAAATTTTGCTAAATGAAATGATAGGAATTCAACAATGGTTATTACATTGCATACTGTTGTCTTCAAATTAGTTTTTCATATTACCAGATATAAGCATGCAAAATTGGTCAAAAACTTAAAAAGAAGAAAAAAGAAATTTTAAGAATTAACTGTTC